GTTAATGGAAGGCAACTTTTAAATAGAAAATTTCTGGTTAAAGTTGACTCAAACTCAAGAAAGAACTGACCTGTAGCCATATCAACAAGAAGTCACCCGAAGGTTCATAATCCCTTGGAAAAAATTTGTAAGTCCATTAAATTTGCCACTCAAATTTATTTTAGATAAAATACCAGTAAAATTTGCAATTCCTCTGACTCATTTTACCCTAATTACAATTATCATGATTACCAGTAAAAGAACAAATAGTGAATAACCACAATATTGGGCTTTTCTCCCTAAATGAAGGAATATTAATATAAAGAATGTAGCACACTATAAAGAGCCAAAAGAATAAAAAATGCATATAATTACCAGCCAAAATTGTTAGAATGAACCATGTCAAACATTTTTTAGGTGAGAATCAATCAAACAATATACCTAGGATAAACTCCATTCACTCATTTAGTAAGTATTTACGGCCGGGCGCAGTGGCTCACGCCTGTAATCCCAGCACTTTGGGAGCCCAAGGAGGGTGGATCACAAGGTCAGGAGATCGAGACCATTCTGGGAAACACAGTGAAACCCCGTCTCTAATAAAAATACAAAAAAATTAGCTGGGCATAGTGGCAGACGCCTGTAGTCCCAGCTACTCGGGAGGCTGAGGCAGGAGAATGGTGTGAACCCGGGAGGCAGAGCTTGCAGTGAGCCAAGATCGTGCCACTGCACTCCAGCCTGAGAGACAGAGTGAGACTCTGTCTCAAAAAAAAAAAAAAAAAAAGCATTTACTAGGTAGCTACATCCAGTATGTTAGGCCTTTTCCTAGGCAGTGAGGATATGGTAGTGAATAATAAAAATCCTATTGAAGAGAATGAGGTAAACACACAACAACAATAGATAAGGCAAAATATACAATATGTTAGAGGAGAAAAACTAAAGCAGGAAAATGAAATGTTTATGTGTTTGAGGGGAAGAGTGGTGGGAAAGTTGGGATGGCCAGAAAAGTCCCTGCTGAGAAAGGATATTTTAATTAAAGAACTGAAGGAATGGAAAGAGTAAGCTAGGAGGATATCTGGGGGAAAAGCATTCCAGACACGAGGAACTGCCAAGTACAGAGGTGTGCCTGCAGTCTTTAAGCAATAGGGATAGATAAGGAATAGCAAGAAGTTCAGTGTGGCTGAAGCAGAGCAAAGGAGATAAGAAATAGAAGTTTAAGCAGGAGAGAGAATATGGCAGATGGTGTAATGTCTTTTGGTTATTAGGAGGAACTTTGACACATACTCAGAGTGAAATGGGAGGCAATCAGAAGGGCTGGGGTAGAGCAATGACACATTTTGACTTACGTTTAAAATATATACACTGAGTTAAGAATTGATTTAAAGGGTTTTTTTTTTTTTAAACCAGGACTATCAATTACCCATCTATGACACTCATCTAGACTACAGATGATGGTGGCTCAGATGTACAATATATGACTGGCTTCTGGATACATTCTTCAGGTACACCTGATAAGACTTACTGATAGATTAGATGTGAGGCATCAGAGAGACAGAAAGATGAGTCAAGAACGACATGGAAGTTTTTGGCAGAGCAAATGGAAGAGCTGCCATTTACCAAAGTAGGAAAGACTACATGAGGTGTAGATTTTAGGAAGGACATGAGTAGCCCAATTTTGGGCTGACAAGTTTGTGCTACCCAAAGAGAGATGTCAAGTAGGCAGATTGATATAGAGATCTGGAATTAAGGAGAGAGAACTGAGTTGGAGACATACATTTGGAAATCACTAGCATATACACAGTAGAAAAAGTCACAAGGGGCTAGGGGCAGTGGCTCACACCTGTAATCTCAGCACTTTGGGAGGC